AAAACATATTAGCTTTCTGGAACCTCAAATTAGCCTCGAACTTTCCATCTGTTGGATGCAAGTGATGAACATAAAATATAACTATGTAATATATCTTTTTTCAGCATACACATCAACCACTATACGTTCCCTTTAGACCCAATTTACTTCTTTGCAGTGCGTTAATGCGCGCATTTCCATGACACGTTAGTGTAAATGGGGCCTTAGACAAAGGCCTGTTGATAATGTCCTCCACTTTGGCACAAGTCAAACAGCTGTTAAGTATTTGCTTTTGGTCCCCGATTATTGAAAATTCTTGTCGCCCACAATGCTCTTAGGCCTTGTTCACACCAAGCGCGGAGCAGGTGCAGAGCAGAGCAGTTGACCAATGTATTCCAATGGTATTTTTTGCTCCAGTTCACATCGCAGTGTGCAGTTCCAGAGCAGGTCCGGAGCAGGTGAGAAAACTGCAGCAGGCCCTATTTTACCTGCTCTGGAACGCATGCAAATGTCTGGAACGCACTGAAAGCCAATGTTAAACTAAAAAATTGTTTTTTTTAATTTTATTTATTTTTTACCAAAAACGACCCGGAACGCATTAAAAACGCGGCACAACCCACTGCACTGCGTGTGCAGAAACATGAGCAGATCTGCTCTGCATTTGGTGTGAACAAGGCCTTATGCCCTTCTTAAAGAGGTTTAATCTGTTACGCGGCTCGATTAAGACCGTATATTGTGGCTCTGCACGATGTTGTCAAGCTGTGCCAAAACGTACTTAGAAAATGTTTTAGCATACATTTGGTTTGACCGATCACACCTCCATTAATGAATAGAAGCCATTGGGGATATTTGATTGCAGTTTACTTCTGCTCTTGGATAAAAATGACTCCTTGATTATGACTTAAGGTGGAAGCATGTTGATAAGTTATAACATTTTGTGTACAGAGCACCTCTGCAGTCTGTATATTACTTCCAGTTTTGCCTTCTGCCCATGTTTATGACAGCGTTTAACACTTTGAACTATGGGATATTTTATCCGCAGTAATGGATGATAATGTACTTCCAACAAGAAAGCCATCTTCTCTGCATACATTACACTTCTTACTTGCAATGAATTCAGAGACTTTAGGTGACTGGCGAGAGTTTATGGATTTATTGTGCAACGATCTGAATCAGTAAGTGCATGGATGGAGCTCAGGCTGGGTAATTACTTGTTGATGCAGGCTGATTTATGGAAATGGAATGCTAGAGTCATGTGACTTATCTAATAGAGAAATGAAAAGACAATGAAAGGTCCACTTTTACCACTCTAGAACAACTAGGAAGATTGGGATCACAGCAGCTTCCATCTAAGACTTTGTAAGCAGATATTTCAAATACAGTGAAGTCTGGGCTTTCATCTTCTATATTTGTTTGAGATTAGTGACCCACTGTGTAGTGAAGACAGGATGAAGGCAGCAGCCTAAAGACCCACACCTTGAAAACAACAGCAACAGGAGTGCAGATATTTCTGCCTTCACAGGTTCCCTTTACATCCTTGGTTCTCAACTGGTGGGTCCTAATCCAAAAGTGGGTCGGACCCCGTGTTCAGTGGGTCACCGCATACCTTCCACTTTTCTAAGTGAGAGGCTCCTCAGCCTCCCCTCAGTGCAGCACCTTCACTTCTTGCACCAAGCAGCCATTCAATATATGCTCCCCGGTGCCGAGTGTCAGCTTGAGGTGCGGTGGGCTGGGGGTATGCCTGCGAGGGAGCTCCATCCATACGTCCATTGCTTACAGCTCCCTCACGTGCCCTGTAGAGGTACCTGGACCGGAGTGACATCACATTCAGGCTCCAGACACCTCTACAGAGTGCGCAAGGGAGCTGTACAAGCAATGCACAAATGGATGGAGCTCCATCACAGCACAGCAGCCCACACTGGACCCCAGGCTGAGGATCCACTCCAGTTCTCGTAAGGTTGGGAGACCGGGTGGATCTTAAGAAAGAAAAAAACACATTTTTTTGGGGAGTGTTTATGTGAGAATGTCTGTGAGATTGTGTCTGTGTGTGTCTGTCAGTGTTTTTGAGGGCCTGTTCACACTAGTAGAGTGCGTTAATCACACAGTCCTGTCCACGCAATCTCACCTACCGCGCATTCTGGTGTGGAAGGTGTTTCATTGCCCTCCATTTAAATGGCACCCCAAACCCACCTCCCAACCACAGTCCCATCACCCGCATTGGAACGCGCAGTACCCTAATGCTGTGCGTTCCATTGCAGTGCATCTTGGGTTGCGACTTAATGACCAAGGACAAATGTGGGCCTGAGGTTACACAGGTTGAGAACCACTGCTTTAGTGACTGAAATCAAAATGAAAACAACAAAACGTTGTAAAGGAAAGATCCTTTACAGTTCCCCGTACCAGCACCTGATTGTGGAATATATACTTTATTGCAGAGCAAAGACACAATTTGTTTCCTTCCGCAAAGACACAGTAGTGACCGGCAGGAGAAACCACAGAGCGTGGCAGGAGGCGCTGGTATCCAAACACAGGCAGAATCGCCAGGTGTCCTTACTCTGTGTGAAGATTGCATGTCCCGGCAAGTAGGTATAAAATCTCTTCTTTTACCGGAGCTTCTTGTTTGGAATCTTTATTTTAGTGGCAGGGTCACCTTAAAGAGGAACTTGGTGGTTGGCTTGGAGGTGATATTTTTACAATTGATAGGAGATACAGATTTTATATCAGAAGAGACTCTGTGTCTTTTCTGCTTATAAAACGTTTTCCCCTCTCATCCCTGAATTTCTAAGTTGCAGGGAATGCAACCCAGTGCTAGGGACGATACAACTCCTATGCGCATGGGCAGGAGTTACATCAGGATAGTACTGGAGACAAGGTCGGTAGCCAGAGCTGCCTATTTTAATTCAACCCTGCTTGGCTATTATTTTTTTTTTTTATAGAAACAAAACTAGACCAAACTTTAAAGATCTTAATCCAATCGCTAAAATCCTATATAAGCTTTAAAGGAGAACTATGAGGCGAGTGCTTTTCACTCATAGTTCTAGCCTACCTGCGACAATGAGACTGTCACAGGTCGGCTCTGTAGATCGGGAAGTGAGTGAGCACATACCGGCGTTCGCTCACTTCTCGATCCTGTCACTGCAGAGAGCCGTGACAGGGGAGGGGCTGGATTCCCACCCTCCCCGCTCCTTCAGCGCTGACTGGTGAACGGATGGGGGAAGGGGCGGGTACAGCTGGCTCTGCCTCTAGATAGGCAGAGCCAGCTGTCACTCACGCAGCTGGGCGGATCCAGACATAATTGTCGGGATGTTTCAGCTGCGGCGTCTCAGTATACCGCCAGTTGCATCTCGCGGTATACTGAGCTTTGGGTAACAGGAGGACACTAGTTTGTGTCCTCCCGTTACCCTTCGGAGAACTATGGGGAAAAGCCCTGACCCCATAGTTTGCCTTTAAAATGGGCCTTTACCCATTTCTTTAAAATAACTATAAACAAACCTTTAGAAATGTTTAGTAATGACAATCTATAAACAGATACTTCTAGACAATTGCCGGCTTTTTATTCTTTGCTGACCTTATTTCTATTTTCTTCCCCATTCTTCTGACAGTGGCCATGTTTACTAAGGGCAGATTACTAGATCTCCATTTACTTCCTTGAACTCTGCCACGTGACTAGGACATGTGACCATGGACATCATCTCAAGGGAGGAAAATACCTTTCCCTGAGATCTCATGAGATTACAGATGAGATTTCCCAGCAATGCTCTGCTGATGTAACCTTCCCAGGATGCAATGCTTAGGCACAGATTACATCATTTGTGCCAGAAAAGGACCAGGAAGTAGATGAACTCAATTTGTAAGTAACTGGAAAACAAGTTTGTTTAACTAATGAATGTAATATGATTTGATATGAGCGTGCAGAGCTGCATGCTGATGTGATTTTTAGTGAAAGGGGGTAAAGGTCCACTGTAACATGTTTTTTCCCCCACACATGTACAATCTTTCTAAATCTGCAAGTTTCATAAACATAACACCTGGAGGTTCCATGCATGTACTGCCTGTGAAACTGCGTTGTCACCCAATATGATACCCGTTTATCATATTGCTTCTAGCTCTGTGCACTTGCACATTATTATATTCTTCTAACCATGGCAGTATTAGCAGGTTAGTCTAGAAGGATTCGAAACAGGCTCAACTTTCAATCAGCACCTATAACATCAATGTGACACCAATCACTTCCACAACATGCTTCCGAATAGTCTATCAGTAGGCGTCTTCTGCTGTGCTTGTAGAAGCCAGCATTCGGGAGCTCTCACACAGCACTGATGTGCAATACGGCCGGTATCTCATAAAGAAATCCTGGATTGGGAGCCTCATCCTAAAGTCTTCTCATTTCAAGAAACACTGAAAAATAGCAGATAAGTAGTTTGAAATAATATTTAATAGTTGTTACTGTATACTCTCCTCCATAGCCATGACCGTAAACTGCACTACATGAACAAAAGAAAATCTGATATAAAAAAATCTGTACAATAATGGGAACGAAAGCAAAGCATTTTTTTTATATTCACAACTGTGTTCATATTCATCATGATATACATTTTACAGAAGCACGTATAGTCCAACTTTTCCGAAGGGGATCTTTGATTTTGAATAGTAAGAACAAATAAAATACTATGAATGACATATTTGATGGTCATTAACCAGTGCAGCAGGTAGTGAAAGAAAACACAGTGGAAACAGTAAAATTCTCATACTATGTCTGATGTAAAACAATAAGAGGGTGCAATGTATCGCCTGCATCCCTTTTGTTCTGCTGTGGGCAGATCGCTTTTTTTTCACCTCTAGATGATCCTGACCCTGTTTTAAGCCAATGGACAACCAATCTACTTGTAGTATAAACTTATTGCCGGCTTGTGGATGTTTTCTGTCCAAACAGCATTAAGCCAAGTCTTTATCTTTGGTTATCATCTGCAGACTGGCCTCTATTTAAATAGCGCTTTTTTATTTTTACAAACAGCAATTTTCACGGTATGGCGACCTATGGCAGATTTTTACTTTGACTTTCCATGTATTAAAGTCAGGATTCCTGAAGCATCTCCATTAGATGGGGAATTCTGTTTAGGCACCGATTTCCAGTCCCTGGCAGGGTTCCTCCTCCTGAATTAAAACCTAGACTCAGCTCAGCTCAAAGCCGGCGGCACATTCTATAGCGTAAAGCAGTTTGCTTCTCATTAGATTCTCATCATAAAATTCTGGCAGTTTCAGGAGGTTCATGCATGTGCTTGCAGTGGGAAGTCGCTCCAGATCAGATCCTCCATTGTGTATGCAGAAAGCAGGATACAATTCCTTCAAGAAAAAAGTATAACGGTAAGAATGCGGGGACAACATATAGTTACTCAACAACGCATTACAGTATCACAATTCCTTACAAAACCATGTTGTGGACACCTCTCTCATGTATTGGAGAGCTTCTTACATGCTTTGGAGTGCAGTTTGTACAGCGTGTTGGTGGTCAAGATGAAATTCTGGTCTTATAAGCAACCAAGATCTGGTAATACTGAACAGAACAAAGTGCTATAATCTGTGGCATGCTGGTCACTCTGCCTATCTGTCTTTATACAGTATGTGGCCAAGGTCTGTGGATAAGGATATAGGAACATAGTCCAAGTACAAGTGACTACAATTTAGCTTTGCTGTAATGTATGGTTGGGATTACTCCAACATTGTAAGAAATGTGGGTTTCCCAAGGGATTTTGAACCAGAGTTGAACAGTCTGTAGTTCATAAAAAACCTGGGTGGAGGCTCCATTGAGAGAGGGTAAGTAATGTGAAGTACACCGGTCCAACCTCCTATCCAGGCTCACAATCCATAATTGTGGTGCACAGCCCTTGAACCCTCTTCCTAGGATTATGTGTATGAAGAAATAAAGTATGCCAGCCCGCCATAAATCCTCCACAACATAGTTCATTGAAGCTCCATAAATGCTCACAAAGTAACAGTTGCTTACTCATTTCATCCTTGGTGGCTTTAGTCAGAGCTGGATACAAACTGACCAGAGCTTCTACTTTTACTTCCTCCATAAGTTCCATCCCTGACCGTTTTTACCTTTGGTATCACTTGCCCACCCTTTTAGATTGTAAGCTTCCAGGAGCAGAGCCCTTCTTATTCAACTGTATGGAATAGTATTGTAACGGTACTGTCTCCCCATATTTTGTAATGGGTTACGCAAACTGTTGGTTCTACATAAATCATGTATTATAAATTAGAGGTGCACCGAAATAGAAATTTAAAAACAGAAACGAAACCGAAATATAAAAAATTGTCAGGCCACTTAACATACCAGGTCCTCAATTATCTACAAACACTCGCTCTCTGACACACACTGTCACAGGAGGCTGAGCGAGCAGAGCAGGGAGGAGAGCTCAGCCTCCTGTGACAGCGCCGTCTCCGCCCCCCCACCGCTCTCCCGCACTGTGATAGGTGGGCGAGCACTGTGGGAGGAGAGACACCGGCCGCTCACAGCGCTCTTGTCCCGCAGCGCTCGGCCGGCTGTCCCTTTCTCTCCTCCCCGCTGGGACACAGAGCAGCGCCCAGTGGGTAGGAAAGAAATCACGGATGCCCGATGTATCGGCAGGAAAATGGCACTTTCGGCATTTAGCCAAAAGTGCAATTTTCAGCCGATATGTTTCGGCGGCCGATATATAGGTGCATCCTTAATTATAATAAATCATCATCACCTAGCGAGTCTAGGCAGCTAGTAACTAGCTATAACTAAGGCCATCTAGGCTGAAACACATAAGTGAGAGTAGCTTTGTGAGCATTACGGAGCTTCAATAAGCTATGCGGCGTGCTGGAATACTTTATATCTCCCCTCTTAGAGGGAACCTGTGCGGAGGGCTCCATGGAGAGAGGATGCACCTGACATCTATCAGGGAGGACCCTTTGTCAGGCTAGAACGATTGTTACTCTAAGCCTTTTCATCCTTCTCTAGGAACGTGGCTTTGTGATAGTCAGGGGCTGGTCTGCTCAGCTTGCTGCCCCATCCATCCAAACTGTGACCAGCAGATGGAAAAACATTAACCCATCACAATGTTTGACACTTAAATCTGAGCCCAGTATAACAATTTCAACTGTATTTTACACAAAACCACAGCTACATTCATTTTATATTTTATAATATTTTTTCCACTTACTGGCAAGTAATTCTCCCCATTATGAAACATGACCGAGTCTAATCATTACTCTTTCCATCTTCAAGCCAGAGAAAAGGTCTTTGCACAGTCATTAATGGTAAAGTCGAGATATTTTCGAAGGGGAGTATTTAAATGCATCTCACTGCCAAATAGCTGCATTTTAGGGCTATCCCTACATAGGTTATTGCCTTCTTTCCACTTTAATGGTTTAGTAATGTAACAGATGGAAATGCTACCGTAAAACCAGGGCCTCGCCAATGTAAAAACTGCATAATGAAAGCTATTATAACCAGAGAAGACATCAGTTCACCAGTGGAGAGGAGCCATTTATTACTCTGACCCGACTGGAACTTCTCTATCCTACCCACTCTAATACAAATGGAGAGATTTTTTTTTCCCTCTACGGCAACTTAATTTATTAAAAAAGTTATTAAGCTTTAATTAGTTTGGGAAAACGCTATCTTGTAACATTTAATCTGGCTCCAAATGGGCTCTTAATTTGTTAATGGTCTAACCTCGTGATACTAAGAGTCTACAAACATTAAATAATGTCTGGAATTTGTCAGGCGCGCAACACTGTAAAGCAGGGACTATCGCCAACTTCTTTAGGGTAATATTTAAAATTCACTTTATACAAGCAGGAGACCAATAAGACTGCAAGCTGGGTAACTCTGAATGTTTTCCCAACAGTTCTCTTATGTCAAGAATCAGTGGCGGACCTAGGGAACAAAGGGCCCTGGTGCAAGATTTTTTTTCGGGCCCCCCAAAAAAAACACAAACCCCCCAACCCACATCACCTGTAGCAACCACAAAACAAAAAGTTGGAAAAATAGCATTGCTGTATAAAGTACTGCTGAGATTTGTAGTCCTCTATAGAGGGTCCCATTCTGCATTAATGCCATATAGCACTACAAATACTAGCAGTGCTTTATACAGCATGTCAATCAGTTGGGCTACAAAAAAGAATGACTTTATTTAATAACTTACCTTCACCTCTTCTGGCTGTTTTCTGGTTGGGCAGGCTTCAGAAAAACGTGTGTGTGTGTGTGTGTGTGTCAGACAGCGCGCCTGTGTACTCAGGTGGCTGTTTGGTGGGTCCTCAAGGCCAAGGCTCAGGGCTGCCCCCTGAAGTGCCTGCCGGCTTTTTTATTCTCGGCTCCCTCCTCAGTATCCGGCAGGCCCCCTCATGAGTGTTGGATCATCCAACACTCCCGGCGCAGAGATGAGGGGCCCGCCGGCTGCCGGATACCAATGTGATCATCGGACACTCCCGACACAGAGATGGGGGAGCCCGCCGGATACCGATCCGATGCTATCCGGCGGCCGGACACCGGCGCCCCCCCCCCATCTCTGACCCGGGGCTGTGTTACATTGGATACTGGGCTCAGGCCCCGGGGGGGCCGCACCAGCTGCACTGGCGGTAGGTCTGCCCCTGTCAAGAATATTCAGGGCAGCAAGTTGCTTTAGTGGTCTTACAATGCAGCACTGATTCTATACCGAACATGCATTGCTTGGAGTGTGTACATTTTGTTGGTTCCCCCAGGAGCGACACCACCCAAACCAGATTTTGTTGTTTTTTGTTTTGGATGGAGTTTAGTTCTGTTCCCTACACATAAACTATAAGTATCAGTGATTTTGAACTTCTCCATATATGTGTAGAGCAAATTCACTCCACAGCACATGAGAGTTTTAAGATGCCCCACAGCCTCTTGAATATCATGTAACTAATCTTCGTTTTGAAGCGTCAACCTGTTCAAAACGTATGGCGCTATAGTATATATGGCGCTATAGTATATATGGCGCTATACTTTTTTTTAGAAACTTTGCCTACAAACAACACGTGTGGCTGTCTGTAATGGGGATACTAACTATTGTTACATCTGTGATACAGAGCAAAAACCTTTTGGGGATTCCAGCATACGTAACGCCCAATGTGCAGAATGGGGAGACCTCATCACTTGCACCACCACCAATTAGCATAATAAGCTGTAGTACACAATATTATAGGACAGCCCCAAGGACAGATTTTTTTTGCCATTTAGCCTGTCTGCTTTTATGATGGTGTGCATTTAGATGTACTTTGTTTGTATGCTTTTATATAATTTTAGGGAACAAATGAAAGACCACATGATACAGTATTACTAAGCCTGCACCCTCTTGTGAAATCTCCATAAACAATTGGTCAATGACAACTGTTATTGGCTGAAGGTTGAACTCTGCCCTACGCCCCCCATTAAGAAATCCATTTTGAACAGAGTTGCCCATTAACCCCTTCGTGACGGGAGACGTACACTGTACGTCCAGTCACAAAGGGACCAAATGACTCGTCACGTACACTGTACGTGACGAGTTATTTGCTGCACTAGAAGGCTGCTAACCGCTGAGAATCAGCGGTTACCTTTCAGTAATAGATGTCTAACTATCTAGAGATCCATTACTGAAAGGGTTAACCTTTTTCAGACACCCGATACCTTAATATCGGGTGTCTGAGAGTCACAGCAAAGCAGACACACATGTCGGCTTTTGCCGGCATTCTGACAGCTCGTATAGATCGAGAGATATCTCTCTCAAGCTATACTGGCTTTTTTTTTTTTTATCTTTTGACTTTCAAGAATAGATACAAAATTATATGTATTAGACACATAATTTATCTATTCTTGAAAGTAGAATGTTTAAGTTTTCTGAAACATTCACTGACAGCTGAATCCTGAACTGCTGCAGGATCAGTGTCACTAACTTATTATTATCGGCTGTTCTGAAGTTTGAAGCAGCCTGATAATAAAAAAAATGTATTGATTTATCAAGCAGTAATAGTGAGATTAATTCACAATGACTGCCTGATATAATTAAATAAATAAAATTTGTCAGTATAAAAAAAGTGAAATGTGTAAATAAATTAAAAAAAATTGTGAAAAAGTGTAAAAAAATTAAAAATAAGGGACAAATAAATGAATGTATGTATTGCATTTTTTTTTAGCTGTGCTGGTTTTGTTAAAAAAAAATACTACAAATCAAAACTGGGAAAAAAAAGTTTTTTTTTACGTTTTTTCCTCTTTTTTTAATTTGTATTTGTGCTAAGTGAGGCGTTAGACACACATATGTGATATAAATATGTAGCCCTATCTGTCCTCTAAAAAACAATATATAATATGT